CCAATTTTAATACAAATTTGGTGGTTTCATAGACCTAATATAACATGTTCTGATTAAGCTTTTAATTATAAAGTAAATTGAAAATGTGTCATTGCAAAAATTAAAAGAAACATAAGGAAAAAGGGAAGGCTGGAGGATAGTAACAAGAATGGGAAGGAGGATTAGGTGGGGCATATCATTTATGTTCATAAAACTGTATACATGAAATGTATGAAATCTATTACCTTTGGATAAATTTAAAAAAAATTTAAAAAGAATATCTGCTCTCAAATGTGAGGCTAGCCCAAATGCTGAAATCCATAGCCACAGAATGATATATGACACAATGTACTTGTAACATACTTTCAAACATCAGCTCTCCTTGTGCCCACATTAACATTCCTGGAAGCTGTCACAATGAAGCTATGGGGTAACAATGCAATGATAGTCCTGCCTCATCAGGGTGCAAGTCATGATCTTTGGTTTCACAGGGTTGGAGAAAAGGTGGATATTTTGTAGCTGGAGGCAGATACTTGCCTTATTTCTAAAGGTCTCTGCTCATTGAGAAGAAATCTTTGTACCAATGTAAAGGCACTAAAACTGCTGAAATATTTATATAGCAGTTTGGTTATTTAAAAATCAGGGGTGCCTAAGTGTATACTACGTGCCAAACCACACCCAGCAGAACTCCTTAACTATGACATAGCCCTTGCTTTACAGTGACTCTCGTCACAGTGTCCCTAGGGCACCCATACGGGCAAATCTTAGTCCTATGCCTACCTATCTTGTCTGCACACAGAAGCCATATATCACTCTTTGTGGTTCTTGAGGCTGTCAGGGGTGGAAAGTTGTCAATCTTAGCACCCTTGGTCTCCCTGCTACTCCTACACTCTCAGTAACTTGAGGAGACACTTTTAAGAATCCTGTTTAGCCTGCAAGTGACAGCTATCAAGGTCTAGAACCCAAGAATAACATAATGTCATCCCCAGTGTCCCTCAGGATCACTTTTGCTCTCTATGGTGCAGCGATCAGCTATGGCATTTCCACTGTTCTGATAGTAACAAAAGACATATGTGTGTAGAAGCTACGTATATGAATTGTGTGACCTTAGAAATTTCCATACAAGTCAAATTCTCTCGTATTTGTATTTGAAACTGGCACTGCATAATATAAAGATGCATGCTAAAATTCAAGCTAAAAATACAATTTTAGACTTTCTTTACTTAGAACAACATTAAATAGCAAATAAGAAACTCCTGTAGAGGTCAACAGAGAGCCCACAGAAGAATGGGAAAATGTTTTCTATTTTGGCCTCTAATAACACTTTCTTCTTGCTTTGTGAACAGTGGAAAGGGGGCATTCACACTTTCATTTTCCCTTGGGTCTGTAAATTATGTAGGCAGTCCTGCATGGGGTAATAGTTCACTGAGACATCAAAGGATATGTTGTATAGAGAAAAATTTAAGACTCTATAAATATGCTATCCAATACAAAGTCCCTAGTCACACGTGGCTACTTAAATTACATGAAATTAAAAAACTAGTTCCTGATGACAAGTATTCAATAGCCACATGTGATTAATGGCTACAATAATGGATGTCAGGAGTATAAAAATGTCTACAATTACAGAAAGTTCTATAGGTCAGTACTGCCCTATCATTTAAATAATTTGTAAAATGCTGGGGTAAATGACAGTAATTGATTTCCAGAACTTTCCTAAACCTTAGAGATACTAATGTGAATCTCTTAGGTAGAGGGGTTATTGCTCGAAACATCTCCAAACTTATTCAACCAAAGCTGCTTTTTCTGCAAAGCAGAGAACTTATAGTTCAGAACTTTCATTTCAAAAGAAAAAAAAAAAAGAAATGTTTTAAGGGCTTGAGATATTGAGATATAAAAGACAATATAGATATTTATCAATAGATTAAAAATAGATTGTTGGGGTTTGGGAATCTAACTTTATAGAGCTGATGATTTCTGGAATAAGTTCAATAATATTCTTCTCCAGAGAGCAGTTTAGATTATCAAATTGCTTGTTAACCCTTTAATTTTTAATGATGAAGAATATTGGTTCCATGAACTGTTGATACACATAACAGAACAATAAATTTTAAAAAGATTATGCTAAGTAAAAGAAACTAGACACCAAATGTCACATTCGATATCTTATTTTTATGATTGCCTCAAAAGATAAAACTATAAGGTCAGAATTCAGATCAGGGACCCTGGTGAGATAAGGGATTGAATATAGAAAGGTATGGGGTAACTTTGACAGTGACAGAATATTCCATACATTGGTGTTTAGTACTGGTCAAATAACTATGTGTTAATCAAAATGTATTGAGTTGTATACCTGAAATAGGTGGCAATACTAATATCAATTATATTTCAGTAAGTCTGATACACACAGAGACACACACACACACACACACACACACAATGAGGCTTCCATATCTGCAGGTTCCATATCTGGAGATTCAAGTAACTTTGAATTGAAAATAAGTTTTGCAAAATTGCACCTGCACTAAACATGTAGAGACATTTTTTCTTGTTATTCTTCTCTAAATAATAGAGCATAACAACTATAATATGGCATTTGCATTGTATTAGGCACTATAAGAAACTATAATATATAGTTTTATATCATATACAATATAGCTTTTATATATAAATTTATATATATAATTTATATAAATTATTGGATTTATATATGAATTATATATAATATAAATTATAAAATTTTAAATAAATTATATATAAATTTATATATAAAACTACATATTATGATATAAAACTATACTATATACTTTTTATATATAAATATATATTATATAAATGCATAGAATATATATTATATAAATATATAAAAACTATATATTATATGATATAAAACTATATATTATAAATTTATTTATAACAACTATATATCATGTAATAGTTTTATATTATATAGTACATATAACCAAAGAACCAAAGAACAAAATTTGTGTGTCAAAGTCTGTTTAAAAATTCAATCAGAAACTCGCTCACAGTCTAACATGACCGTAGCAACTAAAGGATTCTGGAAATGTCAGCCTGTAAAAATAACCTTTTCAGTTATTCTCCACGCCCTGCAGCTAACTCCCTTATCAGTGGCTTTTTGAGGGCTGGAAAGGTATTTGATGAATCTCCCTGTTGGTTCTTTTGACATGAGAACAATCTGGTCCTGGCATCAAACTTGTTTTTGTAGAAATGTTGACTATACCTGCTTAATGGCTAATGCTCCTTTTGGATCAAGATGAGAAAGGCCTTACTGTCACTTGCTTTTCAGGGTCTCCTCCTCCCTTTCTGCCTCCAAATATGAAAGTAACCACATTGTTGTCCACTGAAATATAAATTTGCTTCTTTTTCACTGGTTTCCCTATGTCCTCTCAGAGTGCTTGGATGAAACCTAAGGTTATTAAGAGACCAGGCAAGGTTCTGAATTTTGTTTCCAAAGGGGAAGCTATGACACAAACTTGAGAGAAGAAAGAAAAAAGATAATGTGTCACAAAACTGAATTTGTCTTGGGAGGAAAAATAATTTCCTCTAAGAAGTTGAGAGCTCTTCAGTTAACATCAGGGTCACTGCTTTCTAATAGGGTTTTTATTATGGAAACTCTTGGCCTTGAAAAAGCAGAAAAAAAATGTTTTCAATTTTCCAATTCTCCAATGTTCCTTTGTTAAGCAATAGTAAAAGGATGGGAGAAGAATGTAATGTTGAAATCCAATTTCACATATATGTATTATATATGTATATAATTTTATATTTGGGTATATATGCCAAGAATTTGGGATATCAATATATTTTTGAATTATTACATTTTCTTTCCTGAAGCAATGATATTTTATGTCAATTTAATTTCAGAAGTGGAGGAGAAATATCTGCAGCCCACAAATATTCTGCCTAGTGTTAGAACTTGTCTGCATCCCATTCAGATAATAGCCACTTAGCTTTTTACTTCCCTTTTCATTATCTTAAACTCCTATACACATTAACCTGATGTCAAGTCAAGCATAAACATAAACTTATGGGTGAGAAAGCAAATGGTATAACAGTTGCTAGCCTGTAAACAGAGGCAACAGTCCATCTAATGGAGCAAAATACTTGGTTGCTGAAGAATGTTGCTGTTGTGAAGAATGTGTCTGTTGCTGAAGAATGACAATCTAAGCTTAATAATTGCATGTCTAGATCTGAACTTATAGCTAAGTCAGTTGCAAAGTGATTAGAATAGATTAAAATGTAGCATTTGCTCAGTTTTTACCCACTCAAACCAAACAACAAACTTGACAGTCATCTTAGTGTGTGTTATCTTAGTTTTCATTGTTGTCAAAAGCAATTGGCACACATTTAGTTGCTTACAGCAACACAAATGCGTTCTTAGCTCTGTATATCAGAAGCCCAGGTGAATTTGACTGGTTCCTCCATTCTGGATCTCACAAGGTAAAGAAATCAAGATGCTGGCTAGCCTGGGCTCCTACCTGTAGGTTTGGGGGAGAAGTTGCCTCCAAGTTGGTTCAGTTGTTTGGCATCATTGAGCCCTTTTAGGTGGTGGAGCTAAGGTCCCTTTTTGTTTGCTGGCTGTCAGCTGGGAGCCTCTTTCCAGCAACTTAAGACTGCCTGCCACCGTGTTTAACTTGTTCTTCTCAGGCTTTCCCCCAGTCTAATTTCTCTTTCACCCCATCTCTTCCTCTGCCACTTGCTGGAGAAAGTTTTCTGATTTCAGTGGCTCGTGTGCTCAGGTTACTCTCACCTAGATTATACAGACATATCTCTCTCTCTCTCTCTCTCTAAGTGCATAATCTTAAGTACACCTGCAAAGTCCCTTTTGCCATATTTGTGGTTTTCAGATGGGGCATGGATATCTCTGGGGAACCACTGCATACCACACAGCCTTAAAAAGTTTCACATGATATGTATTGTCCTCTTCCCATTTCAGTATGTTGCATCCACACTAGCCAACTGCATGTTCCTTGGATATGCCACATCTGTTTCTTCCTCAGGACATTTTCACTTGCTGTGCCTTTTGTTGGGGATGCTCAGCCCCTGAATCTTCATACAGCCAACTCACCATTCAAGTCCAAGTCCAAGTCTTACTTCATCTGAGACACAATCTGAGGTATTCCCTGTAAAGTTACCTGTCAAGCCTTTAGTCGTTCACGTTTCATTATTTTATTTTTTCATTACCACTAGCAACTATCTTTAATTTTTCCTTAGCTGCCTCTACCCACCATGATTTATCTTCCAGGGGCCAAGTGTTTAACCTGCCTTTCTCACCAGTGCATCTATCCCAAGAGCAATTCCTAGATCATAGGAAGAACTTGATATCTGGTGCCTCACCTGTGTTTATGTTATTTCTTTAAACAAGTAAAATTAAAAATTTTCACTGTTTTATAATTTAGTTATCCCAGCATATTATTTTAATGAAAGATAACAAATACATTTATCCCCCATGAAAATAAGTCAGTGTGTAAGTCCCAAACCAAGTAAGATAAGAAGGAAATTAGATAGTTGACTTACACTCTGAGACTTAGAGCAGAACTTTTTCTCCTCTCCTCTTACAACCAGCTGGAAATCATTGAAAAGACATTGATTCTTGGAACAAAACCAGACAAATTAAGGCAGAGTATCTGGAAATGAAGCCTTGGTAGGTTTTAAGGTCTTCTCAATGTTCTCTGGAACTACCAGCTGCTGTAGCAAGAGCTGCAAAGCCTGAAGACAGAAATGGAATTGGAGAAATATGGGGTATGGGACCCCACCCAAGCCCAGAGCACCCCAGAGGGAGCAGTCTGCAAGGATGTCCAAGAAATTCAGATTGAGGACAGGTTACTAGCACAGTACTCATTCTCGTACATAAAACATTGGTTTGCTATAGTAATAAAGTATCAAAAACTCGGTGTAAACAACAGAGTAAACAGTTAGTTTTAAGTAACCTTGGGTTCTGTGTCCACAGATTCAACTACATGCAGATGAATAATTTTTTTTAAATATTGTGTCTGTGCTGATTATGTACAATATAACAATTTACAAAGTCTTTGTTTTATAGTAGATATCACATCTAGAGATGGTTTCAAGTATGCAGGAGGATTGTGTAGGTTATTTGCAAGTGCCATGCCATTTCACACAAGGGACTTGAACATCCACAGATTTTGGTATCTATGGAGGATTATGGAACCAGTTCCCCATGCATATGGAAGGATAAATGTATTATCTCATGGTCTGGAGAATAGAGGTCCAAAATCAAATTGTCTTTGGTGCTATTTTCTTTTGAGCACTGTTTGAAAGCAAGTAAGGGCTCATCTTAGTTTAGTATGATTTTACCTTAGACCTTACCTTAGACCAAATATGGATTTGGGAGAACACATAACATAACAACCCAAAGTACACAAACATGACACTGGACAAAATATATGGTGTGTCTGTAGTCAGTCCTGGTCCAAGATTGATAACCTTGAAAGAATGGAAGTAGGGGAAACTTCAAAAAGTTCATGGAAAATGTGTATTATGAAAAAGATGCATGGGTTCTAAGCTTTTTTACATAAAATACAGTGATACTGGCCGGCGCCGCGGCTCACTAGGCTAATCCTCCGCCTAGCGGCGCCGGCACACCGGGTTCTAGTCCCGGTTGGGGCGCCGGATTCAGTCCCGGTTGCCCCTCTTCCAGGCCAGCTCTCTGCTGTGGCCAGGGAGTGCAGTGGAGGATGGCCCAGGTGCTTGGGCTCTGCACCCCATGGGAGACCAGGAAAAGCACCTGGCTCCTGGCTCCTGCCATTGGATCAGCGTGGTGCGCCGGCCGCGGCGGCCATTGGAGGGTGAACCAACGGCAAAGGAAGACCTTTCTCTCTGTCTCTCTCTCTCACTGTCCACTCTGCCTGTCAAAAAATAAAAAAAAAAATAAATAAAAAATAAAAAAATACAGTGATATTTTCATCAAACTGTAAAATTTTGATATTTTAAAGTTTTTCATTTATTTGAAAGACAGACACTGAGACAGATTAACAGGCACAGACAGATATTCTATCAGCTGGTTCATTCCCCCAAAGCCCACAACAGCAGTGACTGGGCCAGCCCATAGTCAGGATCCCAGAACTCAATCCAAGTTTCTACATTGCTAGCTGGGACCTAAATATACAATAGCAGAAGGTGGAATCAGAAAGGGACACTGGGCTTAAATCTCAGGCACTCTGATGGGATGCAGGTGAGGTAAGCAGTGTCTCAACCACTGTGTCAAATGTCCACCCCTTCCATGAAAGTTTTGAAGTGACCTATACGTGTAAGAGACTGGTCTCATGATTAGGGGCACTCTCTAGAATCAGGAGGGTAGAAGCTGAATACAAGTAGAGCAATGTGGTCTCTATGAACTGAAGAGCCAGACATTGGCTGATGAAGCAGCTAGATTTGAAGGGAAGGGAAAGCTATGGCATAGGCTGGAAGAGGAGGGTAGATGTCCACCTGGAAGTTCCCTGCAATTGCTTGTCCAAGGATAGAACCCCATGTAGAGGGAAAGATTCCGTGGGACCAAACATAGTGTGGCCTTTGCAGACCTGAGGGCTTCAAGGAGGTATCAGAGAGAACCCAATGTTGGGGACATGAGTGTGCTGGCTTAGCGAGGAGATTGACAAGAAGCACAGTAACTTTGACATTATATTGAGATTCAAGAAAGATCATACATTGAGTAAGAACATAAATACACTAACATATTACAGGGCAGTTAATCAAAAAATCCTGGTACTGGTACAAAATGGATACAATACAGATAGACCAATGGTACAAGATGGATAGACCAATCAAGCAGAATAGAATCACCAGAAATCAATCCAAGTATTTACAACAAACTTATCTTTGACAAAGGAGCTAAAATCATTTGCTGGAGCAAGGACAGTCTCTTCAGCAAACAGTGCTGGAAAATGGATTGCCACATGTAGAAGCAGGAAAGCAAGACCCCTACCTTATACCCTACATTAAAATGCTCACAAAATTGACTAAAGACCTAAAGCTATGCCCTGATACCATCAAATTATTAGAGAACATTGGAGAAGCCCTTTAAGACATTGTCATAGTCAAAGAGTTCTTGGAAAAGACCCCATAGGCACAGGCAATCCAAGCCAAAATGAACAAATGGGATCACATCAATTTGAGAAGCTTCCATATGGAGAAAGAAACAATCAGCAAAGTGAAGAGCCAACCGACAGAATGGGAGAAAATATTTACAAACTATACAACCATTAAAGGATTACTAACCAGAATATATATAGAGAGAGATAAAAAAACAACAACAAAACAATTCAGTTAAGAAATAGGCAAAGGACTTAAACAGACACTTTTCAAAAGAGGAAATCCAAATGGTCAACAGACACATGAAAAAATGTTCAGGATCACTAGCAATCAGGGAAATGCAAATCAAAACCACAATAAGGTTTCACCTCACCCCGGTTAGAATGGCTCACATTCAGAAATCTACCAACAGATGCTGGCAAGGATGTGTGGAAAAAGGGACACGAACCCACTGTTGGTGGGAATGCAAACTGGTCAAGCCACTATGGAAGTCAGTCTGGAGATTCCGCAGAAACCTGAATATAACCCTCCCATACAACCCAGCCATCCCACTCCTTGGAATTTACCCAAAGGAAATTAAATTGGCAAACAAAAAAGCGGTTTGCACCTTAATGTTTATTGCAGCTCAATTCACAATAGCTAAGGGCTGGAATCAACCCAAACTCTATAGAATACTATACAGCAGTAAAAAACAAAAACAAAAACAAAAAAAAAAACAGTGAAATCTGGTCACTTGCAACAAAATGGAGGAATCTGGAAAACATCATGCTGAGTGAATTAAGCCAGACCCAAAGGGACAAATATCATATGTTCTCCCTGATCGGCGACAACTAACTGAGCACCAAAAAGGAAACCTGTTGAAGTGAAATGGACACTATGAGAAACAGTGACTTGATCAGCCCTTGTCCTGACTGTTGTTGTACAATTTAATACTTTATCCCTTTTAGTATTTTTTTTGTTCTACTTAATACTATTGGTTGAACTCAGTAATTAACACACAATTATTCTTAGGTGTTTAAATGTAACTGAAAAGTGATCTCTGTGAAATATAAGAGTGGGAATAAGAGAGGAAGAAGATGTACAATTTGGGATATGCTCAATCGGACTTGCCCCAAATGGTGGAGTTAGAAATGTGCCAGGGGATTCCAATACAATCCCATCAAGGTGGCATGTACCAATGCCATCTCAATAGTCCAAGTGATCAATTTCAGTTCACAATTGATCACACTGATAGGTCTAAGAGTCAAAGGGATCACACAAACAAGACTAGTGTCTGCTAATACTAACTGATACAGTAAAAAAGGGAGAGAATGATCCAACATGGGAAGCAGGATACACAGCAGACTCATAGAATGGCAGATGTCCTAAACAGCACCCTGGCCTCAGAATCAGCCCTTAAGGCATTCAGATCTGGCTGATGAGCCCATGAGAGTGTTTTAGGCATGGAAAGCCAAGACACTCTGGAAAAAAAATGAAATGACCTAAATGAAAGATCTCTGTGAGTGAGATCCCAGTAGAAAGAATGGGTCATCAAAGAAGGAGGTACCTTTCTCTGAAGGGAGGAGAGAACTTCCACTTTGTCTATGGCCTTGTCTAAATATGATCGGAATTGGTGGACTCAAAAGGCTTCCATAGCCTTGGCAACTCATGACAAGAGCCTAGGGAGATTACTGACACCATAAACAAGAATGTCAAATTGTTAAGTCAACAACAGGAGTCACTGTGCACTTACTCCTCATGTGGGATCTCTGTCCTTATTGTGTTATTCAATGTGAATTAATGCTATAAGTAGTACTCAAACAGTATTTTACACTTTATGTTCTGTGTGTGTGCAAACTGATGAAAGCTTTACTTAATATATACTAAATTGATCTTCTGCATATAAAGATAATTGAAAAATGAATCTGGATGTGAATGGAATGGGAGAGGGAGCAGGAATTGGGAGGGTTGTGGGTGGGAGGGAAGTTATGGGGGGGGAAGCCATTGTAATCCATAAACTGTACTTTGGAAATTTATATTTACTAAATAAAAGTTAAAAAAATAATAGAATTAAAAAGCAGTGAATACTCCAACATGGGAAGCAGTCAATACAGCAGACTCATAGAATGACAATCGCTTTAAGTAGAATTCTGATTTCAGAATCAGCCCT